CTGGGCAACAGAGTGAGACTGTCTCTAAAAAAGAAAAATAAACCTGCATTGGGAAGAAGCTGCCTAAGGAGACTATAATGTAACGCTGCCATCTAGCATCAAAATGTTTAAATTAGGTAAAATATGCCATAAGCTTACTATTGGAGGAAAAGGCATCTTCCCATTAATGTGCCAACAATAAATTCCTATGGAAGAGTGACAAATGTAGTCACAAGAGACAAATATTTATAATGTTTGACAATATATTTAAAAATAGGAAAATGCAAAGGAATCCTAGAAACACCAGCTAGAATGAAATTTGGAAGTATAAGTCCCCAGTTTTGTTCTTTTTCAAAATTGTATTGGCTATTCTGGGTCCCTTATATTCTCATATAAATACCAGAATCATCAATTTCTGCAAAAATAAAAAATCAACTGGGATTCTGATAGGATTGCATTGAATCGGTAGATAATTTGCAGAGTATTGTCATCTTTTTTTTTGAGTTGGAGTCTCACTCTGTCGCCCAGACTGAAGTGCAATGGCCACTTCCAGCCACCGCAGCCTCAACCTGCTGGGCTCTGGTGATCCTTCCGCCTCAGCCTTCTGAGTAGCCGGAATTACAGACATGCGCTACCACACCCGGTTGATTTTTTTATTTATTGTAGAGATGAGGTCTTGCTGCCCAGGCAGGTGTCGGACCTGCGGGCTCAGGCAATCCACTCACCTCAGCCTCCCAAAGGCATGGGATTACAGGCTGAGCCACCGAACCCGGCTTTTCTGATTTATTGTAGAGACGAGTTCTCGCCAAGTTGCCTGGGCTGGTCTCAAACCCACGAGCTCAGGCAATCCACTCGCCTTGGACTTCCAAAGTGCTGGGATTACAGGCTGAGCTACCAAGCTTGGCCTATTTTTTGATTTATTGTAGAGACAAGGTCTCACCAAGTTGCCTAGGCTGGTCTCAAACCTATGGGCTCAGGCAGTCCTCTCACCTCGGCCTCTCAAAGTGCTGGGATTATAAGCTTGAGCTACCGGGCCCATTAATATGAAGTCTTCTGATCTACGAACATAGATGCCTTTCCATTTATTTAGATCTTTAATGTCTTTAAATAATGTTTGCAGTTTTCAGGGTGTAAGTTGTTTACTTTTGTTAAATTTGTCCCTCAGTATCCTGTTCTTTTTGATGGTATAATACACGGAATTATTTTCTCTATTTTATTTTTGGATTATTCATTGCAGGTATCTAGAAATACATTTGATTTTTGTGCATTGTCCTTGTACCTCATAATCTTGCTGCACTCATTAGTTCTAATTTTTTTAGTGAATTCCTTGTGATATCTTATATTCAATATTACGTCATCTATAAATAAAGATTGTTTTACTTCTTCCTTCCAACTTGAATCCCTTTTATTTTTCTGGCCTAGCTTTTGTAGCTGGAACCTCTGGTAAAATATTGAATAAAAATGCCAAAAGCGGGCCAGGCTCGGTGGCTCAGCCTGTAATCCCAGCACTTTGGGTGGCTGATGCGAGTGGATTGCCTAAACCCGTGGGTTTGACACAAGCCCGGGCAACTTGGAGAGCCCTCATCTCAATACATTTTTAAAAATTAGCCGTGCGTGGTAGCACACACCTGTAGTTCCAGCTACTTGGAAGGCTGAGGTGGAAGGATCGCTGGAGCCCAGCAGGTTGGCGCTGGCATGGCGGTGAGCATACCACTGCACTCCAGCCTGGGCGATGGAGTGTGACTCCAACTCAAAAAATAAAAATAAGGAGATTACATGGATTATGTAGGTAATCATAAGGGTCCTTAAAAGTAGAAGAAAGAACTATAAAGATGGCAGCATGAGAAAGACTCTTCCCAATGTGCCTCACTTTGAATAAACAGAAATGCAAGGAATGTGGTGGACCCTAGAAGTTGGAAAAGTCAGCAAAGGGCCTCCAAAAAGGAATGCAAACCTGCTGACACCTGATGTTAGTACAGTGAGATCCATTTTGGGATTCTGACCTTCAAAAACTGTATGATAATAAATTTGTTTTAAGCCATGAAGTTTGTGGTAATTTTTTACAGCAACAATAGGAAACTGATATAGTATATCACATTCATTGATTTTTAGATATTAAACTAACCTTGCATTCTTAGACTAAATATCAGTTGGTTATGTTATGTGATCTTTTTAATAATTGCTGGATTTGGTGTGCTGGTATTTATTGAGGATTTTTGAGTCTATATTCATAAGAGACCTTGGTTGTAGTTTTCATGTGATGTTTTTGTCTGGCTTTGGTATCAGGGTAACACTGGCCTCACAGAATGTGTTGGGAACTATTACCCCCTCTTCTGTAGCCACTCCAGCTTTGTTATGGTTATAGTTTACATGATATGTTCTTGCCTATTCTTTTATTTCTACCAATTTGAAACCTGTCTTTAAACTTCCTATATAACATTTCCTTTATAATAGCCAATTATATTTTTATGACCATGATTAAAAGTACATTTGTTATCTTACCATCTGCTTTAAAAAAAAAATTGAGGTATCCCAACACTTTGGGAGGCTGAGGCAAGAGGATTGCCTGAGCCCAGAAGTTCAAGACCAGCCTGGGCAACTTGGTGAGACCTCATCTCTACAATATGTCAAAAAACTAGCCAGGCATGGTAGCACATGCCTGTAATTCCAGCTACTTGGAAGGCTGAGGTGGAAGGAAAGCCTGAGCCCCGCAGGTTGACACTGGGGTGGCCATGAGCGTGCCACTGCACTCTAGCCTGGACAACAAGAGTGAGACTCTGACTCAAAAAAAAACCCGCCAAAACTGATGTAAACCTTTGTTTTCCCAATGATAATAACTTCTTGTTTTTATACACTTTCTGGTTCTATTGCTGGCAATAACTTGGTATTTTTGCTTAATTTTATTTTTTTTTAAATAAAATTTAGTAACCATATATATTTGGCCCACTTTCTTCTACTGGTCTGTGAAACCTGTCAGTCTAGGAACCACTAAATTATGGAATTTTCAACACTAGGTTAGAGATATGTTGTACATATAACATAGGTTGTATTTCTAGAACAAATTTGTTAAATTTGTAATTTTTAAAGTAATAACATATAATCAATATTTTTGCTTTAATTCATATTTTAAAGACTTTTTTTTTTTAGTTGTAATTTCATTTGTTACCCAGGCTGGAGTGCAGTGACATGCTTATGGCCACCCCAGCATCAATCTGCTGGGCTCCAGCGATCCTTCCACTTCAGCCTTCCAAGTAGCCAGAACTACAGGTATGCGCTACCACACCCAACTAATTTTTTGATTTATCATAGAGACAAGGTCTCGCCAAGTTGCCCAGGCTGTTCTCAAACCCGTGGGCTCAAGCAATCCCCTCACCTCAGCCTCCCAAAGTGTTGGGATTACAGGCTTGAGCCATAGCTCCTGGCCCAGATTTTAAAGACATTCTAAAACTGACTCTGCAAAAGAGATGGAAACCATATCAAAATCACTACTGTACACTGAAAAATTGAAAACCATCTAAATGTCCAATAATATAGATTGCTTAAATACAATGCATTCATATGATAGTTACATATTTAAAATCATGCTTTGGCCAGGCTTGGTGGCTTATAAGGTGAGAGGATTGCCTGAGCCCAGGAGTTCAAGACTAGGTTGGGCAACATGGTGAAACCTCACCCCTACAATAATTTTTAAAAAAGATTAGTGGGCGTAGTGGTGTGCACTGTAGTCCCAGCTACTTGGAAGGCTGAGGTGGAAAGATTGCCTGAGCCCAGCAGGTCAAGGCTGTGGGAGCCTTGATCATGTCACTGCACTCCAGCCTGGGTAACAGAATGAGACTCTAACTCAAAAAAATAAAATGAAATAATAAAATAAATCATGCTTTGGAATAGTATTATACAGCCACAGAAAAACATTCAACTATCGGTCCACTGGTCACATTGTAGTAACTGCTCCCTCTTCTAATCCTTCAGGCATGTTGCAGCTCTCCAAGGTGGCTTAACATACCTGTTGGCCTTCTTTACTCAGTATTACAGGTGTAAGCACTTTAAAAGAACTTCAAGAGGCCAGGTGTGGTGGTTCAGTCTGTAATTCCAGCACTTTGGAAGGCCTAGGCGAGAGGATTGCCTGAGCCCGGGGGTTCGAGACTATTCTGGGCAACTTGGCAAGACCTCGTCTCTACAATAAATAAAAAAATTAGCCAAGCCTGGTAGCACATGCCTGTAATCCCAGCTACTTGGGAGGCTGAGGCCAATGGGTTACCTGAGCATAGGAGTTAAGGCTGCAGTGAGCCATTATCATGTCACTACATTCCAGCCTGGGTGATAGAGTGAGACCCCAACTCAAAAAAACAACCAAAAAACTCCCTCATTAAACCCTGTTCAGTCATCCCACTTTAGTGAATCATCTATTTCCTGCTAAGATCCTGAGAAAGGTTATACACAGGCTAATGATGAAATTACACCATTACTCTCTGGTTGGTGAAATTAAAATGAAATTACAGATGAAAAGTGCCCGTTTTTTTTTTTTTTGAGTTGGAGTTTCATCTGTTGCCCAGGCTGGAGTGCAGTGGAATGCTCGTGGACACCGCAGCCTTGTCCTGCTGGGTTCACATGATCCTTCAGCCTCAGCCTTCCAAGTAGCTGAAACTATAGGCATGCACTACCACACCCGGCTAATTTTTTTTATTTATTGTAGAGACGAGGTCTCACCAAGTTGCCCAGACTGGTCTCAAACCCCTGAGCTCAGGCAATCCTCTCGCCTTGGCCTCCCAAAGTGCTGGATTACAGGCTTGAGCCAATGCACCCAGTCTTTTTTTTTTTACTATGACAGGTGCACCAACATAATAGTTAGGGCTATCATTAATTATTAATGAGTTATTCAGTTATATTCTATACTTTATATATAATTTCATTTAATCCTTTAAATAACTGTGTGAAATATAATAATCACCCCCCTGCTTTACATATGAGGGAACAAACATTTTACTACTGTGAATTAATATATTGTTTTTTTCTTTTAATAGATCATTCACGAGAAGTCTTGGAGCAATTAGTGGGCCCAAACAAACTAAAGCAGGTGACATGGACCGTTTATTGATGCTTATTGAAGATTATCAAAGCTATGAAAGCTTATCAAAACTACCTTCCCAGAAAATGGTCGATACTTAATCTCCACTTAATTTAACATTACTTTATTATTTATTGTCTTATTTAAGCTAGATCTATCTCTCAGAGCGTCAGCTAAATTTCAGTATATATGTGTGTTTTATGCTTTGTAGTTAACCAGACTCTTAAGTATTTTAATAGTGCTATTATTCTGTATCTGTTGGATGAGTCATTATTTTGCAATGGTAATCCTAGCACAGACTCTGATCCTTTCTGGGGGAAGGGGGATGTTGGGTTTTATTTGTTAAATAACAAAGTTTTAAATTGTATATTTTCCCTTGAGATTTCCTTCTCCTACATAGGTATTCAAGCTGTTATAAGAGAAAATTAGATATTTATAAACCTTAGGAGAATTCCAAATTAAAGGTATTTCTAAAATCAAAATTACCTTCCTGTTTTCTGGCCCTTACCTTCCTGAAATATTTAAGCGCCTGTCTGCCAAAAGCAAAGCTGAGCATCAGGCCTTATAATTCTAATTTAGACACACAGTGATTTGTTAGCTGCATAGAATATTAATATTACTGAGGCCCTTGCTCCACCACTTATTTTACTGATCTGTCTAGCTACTATTCCCAAACACATCTTATCTATCCGTAAGCATTTTTTCCTTAGCAAAATTGCATTCCAAAGTTTGTAAAAAATGAGTAAGGGCAGAATATCATTACAAAGATTATATCCTGAAGCTCTACTGATTTCACCTTGTGAAATAAACAGCAAAAGTCTTAGCTTTCAAATGAAAACTCTTTGGTAATTACAAAATTATCTGACATGTCCGTACTTAAACTACCCCCCAAATTTAGCATATTCCTTATGCCATGAACTTGTCTTATTGGGACTTTCTTAAAAATGTCTTATTTTGCTTCTGATGTAGTGAAAAACAGGGAAAGTATGGTTTCTTGTATGTGTTTAGGGGGAAAGGGAGTACGTATTAAACTCCATTTCTTATCCTTACTGTGGTATGTTTTAAGTGTGGAGATATATATATAGAGTCACTGCAAAGGGGATAAACATGTATATATGTGTAAAATGGGTAAGGTCTGGTCTATCTATGAAATTTTTCTGAAGACAAATTTAATATTGAATATCTAACCATGCCAATAGCATTTTTCCCTTTTTGCAGAAACTAGTCTCAAGATCTAATGTGTGAGTTTCTTAGAGTCTATAAAGAATTTGTCTTTCCAAAGCAGTTTGCAGTTTGATTTTCTTGCTTTTTTATAATGCTAGTTGTATTAGCTATTTCTCACCACTCTGTTTAAAATATCAGTACCCCTTCCCAGTACCCAGTATTCTCTATTACTTCTCCTTTCTACCTATCACTGTCTGATACCTGTTTTATTTTTTAGTTGTTCATTATCTGCCTCCCTACTCTAGAATATAAATTTCATGAGGACAAATATTTACCTATTTGTTGCTGTATCCTCATTGCCTAGAACAGTGCATGGTGCATAATAAGCACTCAAATATTCATTGAATAAATGAGCAAGGAAAGAAAAAAAGGAAAGAAAGAAAAGTAATGCCTATACTTCCAGTTTCCAGACTGATTTATATCTTTCAATATAAAGAGATTGTTAATCATCACTCTCATCACTCTCATCCTCACAAAGAAAGAAGCTGAGTAGTCCAAAGTCAATACTACTTCTTAGATACATCAGAGAATTGACATCAAAGGGAAAACCAATACCTCATAAACTGGAAAGACAGATGAATACAAAGAATCACAGCTTACAAGGAGCAGAAGCCTGCCTGCTGGAGCCAGGACAAGCAGAACACTTAGAAACAATAGTCTGTGAGTTGCTGGAGGCTGTGTGTGGATGAACTTGAGAATCAAAAGCTCTGGGGCTGTGTCCATAAATGTTAAACAACCATGTGACATCCCTGGAGTCATTATGAACCTACTGTTTCTGGGGGCTGCTCAATTCACAAATCATTCTTTGCTCCATTAAACTTTGTTAAATTTTAAAAAATACTCTAGGGGATCCACTTTTAGGGGAGATATCACACTTGAATGAGTCTTACCTCCAGGAGGCCTACCAGGTTCCCAGGGGGAAGATCAGAGAAAAGTCCCCTCTTCCAGCAGGAGGAGGAGAAAAGTAACCATTCTGAAATATGCCCAAGTATTCTATTCTTAAAAAAAGCTGATTCTCATGGGAAACTATTTTACCAAAGCCTAACCAACCTGGGGTAAAGGAAGTACTCCACTCCAGCCTCTTCTACATGGGAGAAGGGAAATACCAAACTCCAGCCCATCTGGACTTCTTGTCTCATCAAAAGGGACAAAAGAAAAACTAAGCAGCACTTGTGAAGGTCACAGCCCAGAAGCATAGGCTGACTCAAAAACTGAGACCTTATCACAGAACTACAGAACACATTCCAGAACACATCCCAACTACAGAGCAAGGACACTAAAGGAAATTTTGGCCTATGCTATAGCAAACGTTATCCAAATTTTTAAAACCTCACACTACCTCAGTTTACCTGTTTCTTTTCTTTCCTTTATTTCTTTACTCCTTCCTTCACTTCCTCCCTCCCTTCCTTCCTGCTTAAAACAACAAATGTATTATCTCCAATTCTGGAAGCTGGAAGTCTGAGATCAAGGTGTTCTAGGACTCTCTTCTTGGCTTCTCTTCTCAGTCTTGGCTGTCTTCCCTCTGTATCTTCACACTGTCTCATTTACCTCTTTCTTTTGTTGAACACATAATGTCCAGCTATCAACAAAAAATTACAAGGAATGTTAAAGGGAAAAAAAAACCAATCTGAAGAGACAAAACAGGCATCATAACCAGACTCAGATATGGCAGAGAATCTAGAATTATCAGATTACAAATTAAAAATAACTCTGGTTAACATGCTAATGGAAAAAGTAAACAACATGAAAAAACAGATGTGTTTATAATATAAGCAGAGATAGAAACTCTAAGAAAAAATCAAAAGGAAATGACAGAAGTAAAAAATACTTTAACAGAAATGAAGAATTCCTTTGATGGGCTCATCAATAGAATGGACATGGCTGAAGAAGTTTTAAGAGAAACTTTCCAAACTGAAATGCAAAGAGGGAGAAGAATGGAAAAACAAAACAAATAAAAACCCAGCATATCCAGGAACCACGGGACAATTACAATATGCATATAACACATGTAATGGGAATACCAGAAAGAGTAAGAACATAAATATTTGGGATAATAATGACTGACTGACTGGGAGGCTGAGGTGGAAGGATTGCTTGAGTTCAAGAGTTCAAGGTTACAATGAGATATGATTGTGTCACTGCACTTCCAGCAAGAAGACTCTGTCTCAAAAAAAAAAGTGTTTTTTTTTTAGATTGGAAAATATAGTTTGTTTATTTAGAAAGTAAATCAGGTCCGGGCTTGGTGGCTCAGCCTGTAATCCTAGCACTTTGGGAGGCCGAGGTGAGTGGATTGCCTGAGACTGCAGGTTCGAGACCAGCCTGGGCAACTTGGTGAGACCTCGTCTCTACAATAAATAAAAAATTAGCTGGGCATGGTAGCACGTGCCTGTAGTTCTGGTTGCTTGGAAGGTTGAGGCAGAAGGAGCCCCAGAGCCCAGCAGGTCAACGCTGGGGTGGCTGTGAGTGTGCCCTGCACTCCAGTTTGGGCAACAGAGTGAGACTCCAACTCAAAAAAAAAAAAAAAAATTAGAGGAGATTCACCTCCCCAAGGTGGGCTGAGGAGGGGAGACTTAGGAAAACATGGCAGCCATAGCTCAAATAACCACATGACCTGACCAGAGTTTAGCAAAGCAATGGCTGACAATTTCTTTAATCACACACACCAAACCACACATCCAGGAAGCTCCAAGAACAGCAAGCAGAATAAATTCTCAAAAAACAACACCTAAGCATATCATATTCAAACTTTAGAATGTCAAACACAAAGACAAAATCAAGACATGAAACACACCTACAGAAGAACAAGGATGGGAATTACATTGGACTTCTTTCTCTACAGTAATGATGCAATCAAAAAGAGAATCAATCCTATTTAACATAGTATTAGAAATTCTTGCCAGAGCAATCAGGCCAAGAGAAAGAAATTATCTAAATAGGAAGTATGTAAATAGGAAAATAGGAATAATAATAAAATAAAATAAATAGGAAGTATATAAATAGGAAAAGAAGAAATTAAATTTTCTCTCTTCATAGATAATATGATCCTATACTTAGAAAATCCATAAGACTGCAAAAAATTCCTAGCATTGGATAAACGACTTCAGTAAAGTCTTGGGATAAAAAAAATCAATGCTCAAAAATCAGTTGCATTTCTATACAACAGGAAGCAGGCTGAAAACCAAATAAAAAACACAATCCCATTCACGAAAGCCACAAAAATAATAATAAAATACCTTGGAGGTCAGGTGCAATGGCTCACATCTATAACCCCAGCACTTTGGGAGGCCAAGGTGAGAAGACTGCCTGAGCCCATGGCTCTGAGACCAGCCTGGGCAACTTGGCAAGACCTCATCTCTACAATAAATAAAAAAAAAAAAAATTAGCCGGGCGTGGTAGTGCGTACCTGTAGTTCCAGCTACTTGGAAGACTGAGGTAGAAGGATTGCCTGAGCCCAGCAAGTCGATGCTGGGGTGGCTGTGAGCATGCCACTGGACTCCAGCCTGGATGACAGAGTGAGACTCCAACTAAAAACAAAAAAATAGAGAAGTGCAGAAAAAGAGAAGACAAAAAACAAAAAACAGAACAAGGGCAATAAATAGGAAATATTTATGTAGTAGATATCAATTTAACCAAATCAACAATCACTTTAAATGGGACCTTCTTTTTGGGGGGGAGGTTGACAGTCTTGCCCTGTCACCAATGCTGGAGTTTAGTAGTACGATCCTGGCTCACCGCAGCACCAAATTCCTGGACTCCAGCAATCCTCTCACCTCAATCTCCTAAGTAGCTGGGACTACAGGTGCACATCACCAAGCCAGGCAATTTTTTTTTCCTTTGGTAGATATGGAGTCTATGTTGCTCAGGCTTGTCTTGAACTCCTGGACTCAAGTGATCCTCCTGCCACAGTCCCCCAGAGTGCTGGGATGACAGGCATGAGGCATTGTACCTGGCCTAAATGTGACTGGCCTTAGTGCAAGCCTGTTAAGCTATAAAATCATTTCAGTGTTCACTGATATATATGAGGGGGAACCTAAAAACCTGGAAATTTATTAAAAATTGTATATTTACATGTTTATACTTCAGTCACCTTTAAAGTACTCTCCATTTGATGCAATACATCTGTGGAGATGCTTTTTCCACTGCTTGAAAGTTTCTGAGTCAATTTGATGCCTTTTGGGGCTTCTGCCGTTTTTTTTCTCTTCTTCCACATCAGCAAAACGTTCCCTTTGAGGACTTTTTTTCAACTGGAGAAAGACACAAAAAAAGTTGCTGGGGAGAGATTGGGTGAATAGGGAGGGTGAATAGCCGGAGGATCATGCCGGCTTTTGTTCAAAAACTGCTGAACATTCAGCACGGTGTGGCAAGTGTGCTCCTAAATCACTCATCATGAAATGAACAAACTCCTAGGGAAAAATCTCCAAAAATAAAATTCACTGAAGCCAAGCACAGCCTCTCATAATGCTAGCTGGTACACTGATGCCAATGGGTTCCTAGAACACTTATCTAGTGGGGGAAGCCTGTACTACAAGGGGCCTGCCCTCCAAAAGGCCATTCCAGGTTTTTTCTGGTCCCCCTCATACATGGAAAATTGAAAAATATTTTAAGTGGCATTTGGATGCCTCAAAGACCCTTTATGACCCCATAAATCATTAAGAGAGGATTATAGAAACAAGATTTGTAGATAAAAACTTACATCTACTCTGTCTCAAGTTCATTTCCAACAGTGCTCCAGAGTATAATTTTCTCAGATTGTTGTCTTTTTTTTTTTTGAGTTGAAGTCTCACTCTGTCATCCAGGCTGGAGTGCGTAGCATGCTGCTCATGGTCACTGCAGCCTCAACCTGCTGGGCTCAGGCCTTCCTTCTGTCTCAGACTACCAGGTAGATGGAACCACAGGCATGCGCCACCACACTTAGCTCATTTTTTTATTGAAGAGACAGGGTCTCGCTGTGTTGCCCAGGCTGGTCTCGAACTCCCGAGCTCAGGCAATCCATTCACCTCAGCCTCCCAAAGCACAGGATTACAGGCTGAGCCACCGAGCCTGGCTGGTATAACCAATTTCTAGCTAATCTTAGTAAAGCAGAGTATGTATGAAATCCTACAACCTTTTCCTCCATGATTGTTCCCTGAGGCCCTACTATGTACTAAATACTATATTAAGCCCCTTATGCTTTTATTTAATACAGTAACTCTTTGAGGTAAGGTTTATTGATGAGGAAATTAAAGCTTAGAGAATTTAAGTAGCCCAAAATCTCAGCTAGAAAGTGACAAAATCGCCTGACTCCAAAGCCTATGCACTTTACAGATATATTTTTTTTAAATACAGTGTTCTGTTAAGCTAGGTACAGTGGTGTACACCTGTAGTCTCAGCTACTTGGGAGGCTGAGATAGGAGGAACCTTTGAGCCTAGGAGCTTGAGGTTGCAGTGCCCTAAGATAAGGCCTATGACTAGCCACTGCACTGTACCCTGGGTAACATTGGTAGACCCTGTCATTATTTTTTTAAAAAAAGAAGAAAGAAAATAGGCCAGGCACAGTGGCTCATGCCTATATAATCCCAGCACTTTGAGAGGCTGAGGTAAGAGGATTGCCTGAGCCCTTAGGTTCGAGACCAGCCTGGGCAACTTAGCGAGACCTAAATTAAAAAAAAAAAAAAAAAAAAAAAAAGGCCGCCAGGCTCAGTGGCTCAGCCTGTAATCCAGCGCCTTTGGGAGGCTGAGGTGAGTGGATTGCCTGAGCCCGCGGGTTCGAGACCCGCCTGGGCAGCAAGACCTCAACTCTACAATAAATCAAAAAATCAGGCGGGCGTGGTAGCGCATGCCTGTAATTCCGGCTACTTGGAAGGCTGAGGCGGAAGGATCAC